TTTTCTTTATCTTTTTTTCGACGTTTTCCTTTTCGACATTTTCCTTTTCGACGTTTTCCACCAAGAACGAAAATTTTACCATAGCCTCCTCACTTCAGTCCCAACATATGCTCTAAATTTCAGCCCATTTGAACGTAAATGAGATGAGATCGGTTTTTGAGGGGGCCTTAAACGAATTCATTTCTAAGTGTCTGCATATTATTTTTATTCTTATGTTATATTGTTGTTTTTTCTTATCATCTACTTCATGTCGATATATGGAACAGCAACCTTTTATTTGAATATATATATATATTGTCATTTTTCTTCTTCTTTATAGAGTATGTCTCTAAATGGACAAATAATAATATCATTGCATCTTGTTGATTTCTTTTTCTAAATTATTAGTCTGAAGGAGAAAATGTAAGGCTATACAATAAAGAAAAAGAAGGGAGTGTTTTGTATCGATTGGCAATTCTCTCATTGATGTTTTAGTATGAAGGAAGCCAATATAGAGAATTGATCTAAAGTGTTTTTTTGAACATTAATTATACAATAATTTGCTTCATTTTAGTTTCAATATATTAAAAATTATTCAAACGAATAACAACAACAGCAAAAGGCATATCAATTTTTATTTCTTTCAAATTCTTTCTTTTTTTCTTGTCTGTATGTTTCAATTTTTGTTTGCATATACATACATCATTTCTTTTGTTGTTTTGATTTATTTATCAAGAGAAAAGACAAGAGAAAGAGAGAAAAAAAAAGGAAAAATGAATGAAGTAAGATGTTCGTGATTGTCAAGGTTGGTTTATATTTATTTTCTTTGAGGTTTTGAATAATCATGATCATAATATTAAATTAATAAAACAAACAGATAGAATAACTGGATCGAAGAAAAACTTATTACCAATCAACATTCATCATCACAAGAAGTATAAAAATTTATTTATTAAGAAATAGAAAATTATTATTATTATTATTATTCTTACATAATAGATTATAAATGAATATCATGAAGAATTAAGAATAAATTTAAAAAAAAAATACAAATAGAATGGAAAATATTATTCAACAAAATCCAATTTTATCTCAATCGAATCAAGATTCACGATTAAATCGTTCATTAGAAACAAGTCAAGTTGTTGCGGTTGCTGCATCTATTAATTTAAAAGTATAAAGTCTTTTGAAAATAATAGAATTTTTTTTCTTGTTATAAATTATGTACTTTTAAATATTATTGTTATAGAATCTTCTTTCTTATCAAGATGTTATGAATGCAATTGAACGTGATTATCATTTACATGAAGGACAAGAACGTGAAATAATTATGAAATTATAGTTAAAAGGACAAACAATGATTGCAATTTTACAATGTTTTAGATATTTATTACAAGATCTTAATATAGATGATAAAGATTTTTCTGAAGGATTAAAAGTTTGTATAAATAATATTCACAATAATTTATTCAATATTTACAAAAAAAAAAAGATTTCTATTAATACATATTTAACTATTGTTTATTCAAAATATGATTAGATTTTTTTCTGCTACATAAAACATATTCATATTTTCTTAAACAAAAAAAAGGGTTATAACTAATATGTTTTTATGTATTCGAAATACATATATATATATATATTTTTTTTTTTTGTACTGTTATTCTGAAGTATGTGTATGGGAATGAGATTTAATTTCTACATATTGTTATTGCATTCTTTAAACACTTGTAAGATATCTTTCCCAGCCCGGCTATTCTATTTATATGTAATAAGTATCTTGTTGATATTTTTTTTTTGATCTAGAGATCGATTACATTGGAATTTTTTTTTGTTTTTATTTAGCAAATACGTGAAAAACTAAATTATGCTCATCGTGATGTATATTATCTTCAAGAAAAAAATCTTATACTTGAAAATCAAAATAATTTTCTTGAAAATGAATTTAAACGACAATTAGATAAAATAGTTGAAGAAAAAAATGAACATATTAATCGACTTATACATATTATTGATCAAACATATACACGATCAACTCAAATAAATAATCATATTAATGATGAATATTATTCATCAAGTAAATAAATACAATAAATTTGATTATATTCTAAAAGTTAAAATAATAGACATCAAATATTTTATTAATAGAAAAAAAAAATATAATGATCATATTTTTTTTTTGCTTTTCTATAAAACCTTTTTACTATTCAACAAAATGGATTCTATATGTAATTGAGAATAAGAATAAGAATAAGTATATTTTATGTATACGTTATAATAATGAAAACTTCAAAGTCTCATCTAAATCTAAATTTTAACCAAGTTATGAATGAAGTATACTTTTACATATCTCATTATACAAAATAAACTAACCTTGTGATTACTATTGATCAAGGTAATTTCGATTAATTGGAGAATTTTTCCTACAGTTAACAAACTTCAAATATAATCAAATTATAACAATAGAAACAAGGCTAATTTGATATCGAATTTTGTTTTTTTTTTTTGCTTAGTAAGATCTTTATTAGAGCTCATCGGATTAATCTCGAACTCGAGATTTTTACTATTGTTTGATTCTGTCATTACATTTCAAAATATATTTTGTAAACTTTTTTTATAATTGTTAAAAACAAAATTTCTCTTTTTTCATTTTATTGTTTATAGTTTTGATTGGAATATCTAAAATATCTATATATTTGATTTCTTATAGTCATATATACTAGCAGTAAGATTAAATCTAAAAACCTATTGCAGATTTGAAGTAAATGTTATAATAAACATTAAGATTAATCACAAAACAAAAATTCAATTTTTTTTTGTAAGAGTTATGCTTCTGTATAAGAACATACATCAATTAGTTAAATTCCCGTACTTAGAATTTTGTTTAGAATAAAGCAATGAAATAAAATAGGTTAAATATGAGTCAAAACTGTACAACATTTATTAATGTCCATTTCAGAGTTAAATGGCCGTGGGCATTTTTTGAATAACTTTTGATAGGAACGAGATAGAAATCTCCAATTTTCACCGTTGGAAAGAACAGATGAAGTCGCATCGAACTATAAAGATTTTTTTAAACTATTTTCCTATAGGTTTAGTCAAAAGTTTTCAAAGAATTGCTTTTTTCTCATATGTTAAAAAAGTGGCTTTTCTATCAAAATACGACAAAAATTTCCATTTTTCGATTATTTTGTTGAAAAAAAATGAGGTGGTAAATTGTGCTCCGATGGTTTACATATCATACTGGTAGTAGTTAGGAACAGCGTCTTGATATAGTTTTGTAGCTCTTCCTTTGGCCATTCTAGAACACTCTTGAAAATCAACAAGTTGATATCATGACCATGAGAAGCATGCTGTTTTTCTTGAAGTTTTATATAAAACCTATAGGAAAGTAGTTAGAAAAATCTTTCTATATATAATTCGATGCGTCTTCATCTGCTCTTTCCAACGATGAAAACCGGAGATCTCTAATTCGTTCCTATCAAAAGTTATTCAAAAAATGTTCACGTCCATTTAACTCTGAAATGGACATTAGTTACATGTAATAATAATAATGTCGTAGTTGATGGTTTCTTCTATTGTATACTTTTTATTGTTGTTTATCGAATAACAAAGAAGATATATCTTTAGTAAAAACTATCGTATATCGAACTTCTCAACTATTATTATAATTAATTGTACGGATTCGTCTGAGGTTAAACAATAAGATCGAATGAGACAGTTATTACTTAAGTTCATTTACTAACGAAAGAAATCCTTCAATGAATTAAACACTAAATATATCCCAACTATAGTTTTTTATAATGGACATAAGAAGAGAAGAAAAAAAAATTCTCGGTTAGAATTAAAGATCATTATTAAACGGAGAATGTTATATTCTTACGGTAGGCTTGTAATTCAATATCGTAATTCCCTTTTTCCTGTTAAGTTACTTCTAATTTTAGCAATTCTTTTTTTTTTTAAATGTAAATTTATCATTCCTAGAAAAAAATTGATATTTGATATCAAGATTATAGTAAAAAATTCTCTATAGAAGATCTTTGCTTCATTCTTATTATCTTCTAATGATACTAAAATACTGATAAATATATGTTGACTTGCATACTTTTGAGATAAAACATTCACTTTTATTCTCAGATATATTCTAACAAATATAATAATATTAATTTATCATTTTCTTAAATATGAGAAAGACTAATTTTTTTTTTTTTTGTATTTTGAAATTTTTCATAGAGAATAGAAATAATTAATTAATTCAATTCTATATTTTATTAGAAGCTGAAGAATTATCAAAAAAATTTATGGAACAAAATATTGAATTACAACATGAAATTGAAACATTTCGTTCTAAACTTGATTATATTGTAACATATATTAATCAAAAATTGGATCAACAAAAAACAACAACAACAACAACATTATCATCTTTATCTATACATCAATTAGTATTTGAAACTATGCAACAAACAGAAATGAAATTACTTGAATTTAAATTTAAATTTATTTCACAACAAGAAGAAAATGATCTTTTAAAATATTTAGTATGTATTATTAAAATTTAAAAACAAAAAAAAGTAAAATTTAATTTAAATAATATTAGATGGAAAAATCACAAAATATATCAGATATTGAACAAACAAAATTATTTTCTATTATTCAACAACGTTCACTTGAACGTGAAATTGATCTTGTTCGTCAAGAACTTGAAATTACAGAGAAAAAAACTATTCAATTTGAACAAACAGTATAATTACATTCTTTTTTCTTTGAATTGATATTTAAAATATTCATAATTTTTTAGTTTGATAATTCAGATGAAGGAATTAAATTTCATATGGAAAATCTTAAATTAAAATGTGATGTATTACATAAACATATTTTAACATGTAGTCAACGATTAGATGATATTAATAAACAAAATCTTATGAAATTAACAAATGAAAATCAAATATTAAAGTATAGACACAAACAAAAAATATTCGAATTTTATTTTTCCTATGATTTTTTTTTCGTATAGAATTAGAACTCAACATGAAGAATCAAATATTGATGTATGATGAATAAATTTCTTTATATAAATATATTTTATATTAGAATAAAAATATTGAACTTGAATTTGAATTATTACGTTTACGTGAACGTTATAATGAATTAATTGAACATACAAATACACTTAAATATGAATTAAATAATGCACAAAAACAATTACATGAAAAAGAAAAAGTAAATATTAACTTATGAATATTATTAATTTTCTTAATACTTAAATATCTTATTATATTTGTATAGAAACTAAGTAAAAATATAACCTAAAACAGATCGAATAAAACAATCAATCGATGATTAACAACTAGGTATCGGTGGGATCATCTTTTCTTTTTTTGGTCCTGGTTTCAATTTAAAACTTTTTATTGTTTCTAGAATAAAAAAAACGACTTTTCTTATAATCTGTATGATTTTTTGAATATATATATAATGAATATTGATGATTTTGAGAAATTAACAATCCTAGGTCGAAGATTCCGGTCACCGGATCCTGTAGGAAAGATGCGGAAAAATTCACCGTATCCTGCACGAAAACACTGAAAGTCACCGGAACAGGGTGGCAGTATTCCGACCGGAAAAGTTTCGGATTTTTTCCGGACAACTTCCTGAAGAAAACGGGAGGAATTTGATCGAAAGTCACCGAAAAAATCCGAAAAGTGTCCAGCCGGAATACTGCCACCCTGTTCCAATAACTTCCAGTGTTTTTCTGCCGGAACCCACTCGTACTTCTCGACCTGGGCATAAATAAATAAAAAAGGCCTATTTGTAGATTATTAGTCAGAACAGAATAATAAATATGGAAATAGGTAGTCTAGTTCTGGAACAGAAAACATTACGGGACCAGTATGCAGATCTCTATTAGCAACACTAATTATATCATGTAATCGCACAAAGATTACATTAACAGATTTCTTTTATCAAATTTAAAGTAAAAAAAAAAAAAGGTCAAGGTAATCATTTCGGTCGGAAATGTTATTGCTAAAAAGTTCTTATCATAAGTGGTTCACATATTGTAATAAAAGAGAAAAAACTCCTGAAAGTGCCGATGGCGCAAGACGCCATCATATTGAATGCCGCCGACATACGTAAAATCATTCTCACAATTCATTACAATGAATACCGACTTAATATTATTTAATAAACAAAAGTGAAAACATTCCTAAAGCAAAACGTCTCAAATTTGAGTACCATTAGAACTCTTCAAAAGTGCTCAGTTTCTATTTTCGTCTTTCTAACAATTAATTAATTGCACGTTCTTTTTTTTTTAATCAAAGGTAAATCAGTTCGTGTTGACATGATTTAATGTCATAAGCTATTAATATAAAAAATACCGACAAGATGTTATATCAAATACTGTTGTTATTATGTAAAATTGTTTTTTTTTATCTAATTAGTCAATATTGTTTATCATAGTATCATTTATGTTACTCACATTATGGAAATTGTATGTTATTATTCATGTCATAATGAGAAAATTTTATCGTATATATATATAGCCATGATTTATATTCTGTCAAGAACAAATTATTTTGTTTTTTTTTGTTTAAAATTTTGTATGTTTTAATTAATATATTTATTAATAAATATAGATTGAGCCAAATTTAAATGTTGATTTGGAAAAAGAACGACGACGTGCAGATGAATTTGAAAATGATTATAAATCTTTAAAAATAAAATATGATGATGTATGTGAACGTATTCGTATAGCTACACATCAATTAGAACATGTACAAATTGTACTTGAAGAAACATCACGTCGTTGTGAACAATTAGAAAAAGAAAAGGTAAAGAAAAAAAATACAAAAAAAAATAATAATAATAATAATTTCATTCTCTTACATATCGCGTACATATTATTCTATGATTCGACTAGTTCAGCTACGGAAAAAATTGGTATTAATACATATGATTTATTATTGCTTCTCCTTTTTTTTCTCTTCGTGTTTTTCTATTCACTATTAAATTTCTTAGATAAAATATTTCCATAAGCACATTTTTCTGCACTTATTTTTTTTTTCTTTTATCTTATATATAATACTCCTCTAGACTGAGACGATGAATCCAACATAATTATTTATATATAGATTAAAATAATTTTTTATTGTCATTTGCTTTTTGTTCTAGTCCGAAATTAATGCTCAATCTGAATATCTTTCACAAAATGTTCTTAATGTAACATCAAAATATAAAGATAAATTAAATATAATTAAAGTTCGTTTGTAAGTCTTCATTTAGAATCCCAAAAGAAAAAAGAACAAGATTAAAGAAATTTTGATTATTATTATTATTATTATTATAGAGAACAAGCAGAACATAAAAGACATGAAGTACAACTTCGTAATGAAAAATTTCAAAATGATAGACAACCGTTTGATGTAAAAAAGTTTGATATGGTTTCATCATGTCAATTTAATTACTTTTTGAATTGTTAAACAAAACGACTGCTGGTTCAATATCTGCTCCATCGATAATTCCATTACGTGTTGGATATACACAAAAATCTTCCATTGATACAAATACATTGATTGAAATACGTAGTGATACAAATAATGTTGATATTTATTATACATTAGATGGTTCAAAACCAGATGCATTTATAACATTAGCAACACGACGTTCGACTATACAATATAAAAAAAAACCATTTTATATATCAAGAGATATAGCTAATATAGGCAAAGTAACAATTAAAGCTATAGCTGTATCACGGTAAAGATATTTGAGAAAACAAAAAAATCAGTTTGAAGAATTTTTATTTTTTTTTATTAAAATTTATTTAGTGATGGAATTCGAGAAAGTGTTATAGTAACAAAAATATTTGATATTAAAATTATTCCATCAGATCATTCATTATCGGATGAATATGAAAATCGATATATATATGAATTACAACAAGAACGAAAGGTAAAAAATTTCAATATGATAGATAATAAATAAATTCAATAGAAATTTACTTATCTCATGTTTATTGAAATACTGTATAGAATACTTTTTTTTTATTATGAAATCATACCTATTTTTATATGAAATGTACAATGAATTTGAATTAAGTGAAAGAATATTCTTTTTAGTATTTATTTAACTAATCTGAAAAAGTATATTTTAGAAAAAGATGAATTTTCATTAAAAGAAACTGTGAATTCGATTTTTGTAGAGAACACATCTGAATACATTGAATCTTTCATAAAATATTACGAAAATAAAATAATCTGTTGGATATATGAGTAAGTTTATGTGTTATTATAAGTGATTAATCAAGATGTTAAAGTTTAATTAAATATTAAATTTTTCAATATAAATATATTCTAGTTTGCAAAAATATTTATCTTTAATTTTATTAAAAAAATTGATATTCAAGAATGTCTCGATATCTCAAGAGTTCAATTAGAAGATCACTAATATAATAGTAGTAATTTAATGCTTGTCTATCGATATTACTTCATTAAGATGTTTTTTTTTTCTACGAAGTTCAAAACTTATCAAAGTCATTGACACATCTTCAATTTTAGTTTTTAAATTTCTATTTGAAACTTTACATAGAGATAGATGTTAACGAAAATAATTTATTGCAAAATATTTTTCATTCCGCCGATAAGAATATATCTAAAACTTTCATTACAAACTATTGTCAGTGAACTCAATCTCTGTGAAAAATTCAAATTCGAGATTTGAAAATGAAATATTTCTGAAGAATGTCATAGTATTATCTAAAAAACAATTTGTAAACATACAATTAGTAAAGCAATCGAACTTTTTTCTACATATTTAATTCAGTTAAATATTTATTAATTGATTTTATAATTTTACTTCAATAGAAATTAATGAGAAAGATGCAAAATGAAAATGAACAAATGCAACAAAAATTATCTGGTATCAAAAAAAAAAAGGAATTTTATTTATTATTAATCAAATTTCTATATAGAATCAATGCATCGTTCAACAGTTGATTCATTAGTACAAGAAAATCCAACTAATTATACATTCAAATTCTCAAATACAAACAAATGTTTTAAGGTTTATCGACACAAAATTACTTTATTATTTGAGCTTTGTTTTTTCTTTTCTAGATGTGCACATTGTTTTGCACCTAAATCAAATGATTTATATACACGATTTTGTACGGAATGTGGTCTATCTTGGCAAAAACTAACTCATAATCCACCGGATAATTATTCAGTAATTCAAAATAATTCTATCGGATATGATGACTACCCTTCATTTGAAAAAAAGAAACTACCTAATCCCATTCTGTTGAACAACTCATAGTTATTTACGAAATTATTTTTTCATAAAAGTCATTATACCAGCTAAGATATATAAGAGCAATGATGAGTAATATGATCTCAAAAATAACCTATATCTGACATATATATATATGAGTCTTTCGAAAACAGTAAAAAAACGTTTTTTCTCTTTCAGAATCTTGATAAAGCTATTAATTCTTATAAGAAACCCAAACATATGTTGAATGTGATAGAACTACATATCCGAATCACATTCGATGTTCTGAAGCCTAAAAACAACAAGTAAGCTCTAATATTTTTCTATTCTCAGGAATCATACTTATAGAACTCGGAAAAAGTTGCATGGTTGGTTGCCTTTGTCCTCGACAGCCGCATCTAACAACACTCATCATTGCTATAGTACCTGTTAACTAGTAACCCCCCCCCCCCCCTCCAAAAAAAATAAAAGGGCATGCCCTTATACAGTGTCTTGGCACATTGCTACTTTTTGGATGGCCTTCTATTGGTGGTCAACTTTTGGTCAGTTTTTAATTAAAATCATTTAAAAAATGAATAATTAATTAATAACTTTAATTATTGGTTTTTGCTGAAAAACCTACCATTTTTTGTAAAAACTGTACTAATTATGATAGGAAAGGAAGGATTTCGCAAAAAAACATTAGAAAATCGGTTATATTTCCTTAATTATTAGTTAATATATATAAAAATTTCGATAATTTTGAAATATATTAATTAATTAGTACATGGC